GACTCTTGTCTTCCCATAATGTGACCGAAAGTACAATAACCTCAGTTTAGTCATGTTAAGATAAAAATGAAAATTGTGCGCAAGTTGCATTCTGGGCCAAGGAAAGTTGAATTCCACAACCATGTTAACATGGGAGTCCCAGTGGCCCGAGAAATAGGCGAGTTTATAAGTGTTTCACAAGAATCATGCTTACATACGTGCAATAAAAGTAAAGGTTCCCTTGCTCGAAAGCCAGTCGAGTCCAACTCTAGGGTTGTGGTGCTCATCTCTTTCAAAGCCGAAGAGCCAGCGCTGTCCGAAGACGTTTCCGTGGTCATGTGGCCGGCATGACTAAACACCGAGGCGCACAGAACGCTGTTACCTTCCCACTGAAGTGGTACCTATTTATCTACTTGCAATTTCTTGCTTTCGAACTGCTAGGCTGGCAGGAGCTGGAACTAGAGACGGGAGCTCACTCTGCCATGCGGCACACTCTGGTCTTGAACTGCTGAACTACTGACCTTCCACGGCCTGCAGTTCAGCATCTTAACCACTTGAGCCACTGCACCTCCTATACATGTAATACAGAACAAATAAAAACAAACAGGGCCTGTCAAAGGAGGTTATAGCCAGATTATTATTATTATTTGCTGTCAAGTCACAGCTGATTTACGGTGAGCCCACGGGGTTTTCAAGGCAAGAGACATTCAGAGGTGGTTTGCCACTGCCTGCCTCCACATCACGACCCTGGTATTCCTTGGAGGACTCCCATCCAAACACTTGCCAGGGCCAACTCTGCTTAGCTTCCGAGATCTGACGAGATCGAGCTAGCCTGGGCTATCCAGGTCAGGGCACAGTCAGGTTTAGGCAGAAATAAAACTAAATTTGGAGGAGATGGGCAGAAAAAGACATCGACTAGCAGAAATAATTAAGGTTATTTTAAAGCATGCTGCTTGTTAATGCAGGGGGGTGCAAGATGCAGTGCTTGGCCTGCAAGCTCCACAACCCTTCTGACTCCTGAGATTTCCCCACAGATTTTAAAACATATGTTCACTGTATCAGAAGGCTAGAAACTCGTTAAGTTTTATTTTGAAAATCTAAAATGATTTCTGCGCTATTGTTGAATTGAAGCTGAGACAAAGCCCAACCTATAGCAAAATGTAGATACTGTCAAATCGTGTAACACCTTAATTCCTACAACTGAAGACACAGAAAATGGGCTTTGAACCTTGAAGATGCCTTGCTGGCAGCTGTTCTTGATTGTTAATGTCATGCAGGACGTCTTGCACTGTTCTCTGTTCCCCGCCAGGTCAAATCGGTCAAAAAGTTACCTTCTGGACTGTTGGCAGTAACCGTAACATCCTCTCCTCCCAGTCAGAAGCCCACTGTTAACACCATTGAGGACGTTGACTGTCTGTTGTGGGCCATCGGGAGACAG